AGCTGAAGTTGGGTAGACTAGGCAGGTGGTCATTGCTGTATGGGACGAAAGGTAGTTGTGTAAGCCTGGGTGCAGCATCCTGGGTTGGCTAACTGACCACCTGTTTTCTTTGCATCACCCTTACCAGACCTGGTGAGGAATCGGGATCGGAGTGCGTGATTCCTGTTGCACGGAAGGAGGCTCGAGTGTTTGTCCAATCGCTCCCAAGCAACGTGCCGACAGTTGAGGTGGAGGGAGCATCGGCGTTGCCTTCGACTAGCAGCACAGTGTCAGGAGAAAGCTGTCAACCCACACGCAAGGTGGTGATCATTGGCAAGCGGGTTATGGAGGGTGGAGATAAGTAAGTTGGATGTAGTATAGGAAGAGTGTGAAAGGGGAGGTGCTTTGTAGGTGGCCTCTCGCCACCGTAGGACGTGTGCTCTTGCCCTGTTTGTGGTAGTGTGTCTTCACATTCCTCAGCTTATCTAGTCCCAATGCAGTCTGCAGTTTGGGCTGATTGGCGCAAGATGTAGCCTGTTAATGAAGGGGTTGCTGTCAAGTTGGAAATGCACAATTGAGATGATGGCGCGAGCTGCGTGTTGTACATGTGGGAATCGCTCATTGCAGGTGTGAAGATGTTTTGCGTCTCAGTAATGTTGAGTACATGCTGGCAGCTGTAGGGCTGTGGCTAAGCCTCCCAGATGCATGTGTGAATTGGCTCTGTTGGTGTGGTGGATTGGTATTTCGTGTGCTTAGAGTGTGTTGCGAAGAGGCTGCGGCGGACGAAGGTGGACAGTCATGGCGAAGGTGGTTGCTGTCAGGAAATGCAGAAGAGGTGCCTGCGAAACGACTGCGATGCGAGTCTGCGACAGGGGTGGAGGTGGTTGGGCCTCCACCACGGCCATCGCTGCTGCCGCAAGCAGCACCGACACCGCCTTCTGCCTTGCCTGTTGTACGAACGGCTGATTCGCCGACTGGTGGCATGCATGCGAGAGGTGCTGTGCCTGCTGCAGCGTTGTCCACTTCGTGTCTGCCGAAGCCGCGTACGGAGGCCACCTTCCCCTCTCATTCAGTGATGCAGGAACCGCGACGCCCGTGTTCCTTTGTTTTCCACCACAGTGTGGTAGGTGCTCGTGCCTCCCCTTGCAGCCACTTTGCTTGGCACTTTGTGCATGCTGCAGTGAAGTAATTGTAGGCAATTGTGAGCATGCATTTGGAGACACTTTCCATTTAGGTGAACGCGGCATCGGGACAAGAGGGAGGTGCAGTGTTGGCCGAATCGCACAATGGGTCGGTGAAGGGAATCGCCACGACCGATGGTGGCAGGAATGACTGTGTTGCCGAGAGACGTGGGTGCATTGCAACGACTCAAAATGGG